GTACCGGTTTTCGTCTGGCTGAATGCATATCCCGAAACAATTGCCGATCGCGCGTTGCACGTGTAGCTGCTGCGCCAGCCTAAGTCACGCCCATGCCCATATTGGGAGTTTGTCAACGAATCCTATGATGCTCGCTCGGGCTATGAAACAATTGCTAAGCGCGGAATTTGTGGGAAGCTATTGCAAAGCAGCGATCTTTGGCATCCGCGAATGAATCCGCGGAAATCCTTCGTTCTGATTGGTCGCACTTAAATGCTTCTCATTTAAAAACTATCGGGAATTTTGGCAAACGGTTTGCGGGAGTATACTCAGGGTACCTCCAGGCATCGCCCACTTTCCGGTCCAAAAGCAATTCTGGGACACCCTGTATATATATTGTGACGTATTTTTACGCGATCGACCTCACTGGAAAATGCAAGACCGACCGGCGCACAACTTTACGCGATTCCTACGCGTTCCAGGCAACCCAGGGGCTAACAAATTTTACTCTCGAAATACCTAAGGTATTGTTGGGCGCCAGGTTCCAAAACGGGAACCACGTATCAGTTTCTACAGTTTGTTTTCGCGTGCCTACGTTGGCTAACTCAGCTACGCGGAGGCGTCCGGGTTCGGAACAATAGGTCGGATGGGTCAGACGATCACGCGACACACAAAATCATTCGGACGCTTCGATCTGAAATAAATGGTTCGGTTTATTAAAGAAAAATCGGCGGCGCGAAGCGCGGCGATTTTGTACAGGACCGAAGTAATTATTTACACAAGAAATAGTAATTAATATGGATCGAAAGGACAAAACCAAAATCGTCACACAGCTCATCCGCGTTTGCCAAAATACGAGAACCGACCTCAAGGACCTGCACGCGTTCTACGCATTACAAAATCAAAAGTTATAAATCCCTGACGGGCTGACGAGAAGAAACAATTCGGATAACGTACAAAATTCTGATCCAAAAAGAATATCAAACAAAAGTTCTAAACAGTGAACCATGCCGGTCGACGGACCTCCGTGCCTTGGTCTAATTCGAGGTGAGGGATCGTCCCTCCGCGTGTCCGTTACACGCGCGGTCAAAACTTCCGAAAAAAAAAAAAAAAATCCGGTACCAAGATTCGCACGAAGTTACATCGCTCACAAAAGTCAGTTAGACTCGCTTACCGTGTTGTTCCCTGATCGCGTAATCCCAGAAAACCAGATCGACAGCCCAATAGCACTTTGTGCACTCGCGTACTCACAAATCAACTCCAATAAAACAAAACGTCTAACGTCTTTGCGTGTCCAAGCAGGAATCTCTCGATCTTCAGGCGCTTTGTCTTCGCGTGAAGGATAGCACCCCCTCCCTTTAGGCTAATGGGCGGCGATTCGCCCTGCGGACGAATCCTTCAACCCAAAGTCTTCGCCACGCACCAGTTTCGAATATGTCATCACGACAATTAATAATTTTCATCATCTCTTGTGGACAATTTCTACATCTCGGTCCTACGAAGAGTAACATTTGTTCTCGCGCGAGGGTGTACCAGGCGTCCCTGGATTCCCAATTCACGGAAATATAATTATGCACAAACTAACGATGGGTGCTATGCTATAGGGGTTGGTAGTGGTGCTCAGTCGGGTGGCGCTGTGTACGCCGCTTCCAGTCGTGGTTGAGTACCAACGGAGTAGAGCGCGTTGCTGCCGCATGATGTCAAGCTGTCCCGCGTTGCGCGCGCGTCCTGGGCCAGTAGAGCTGCTGTCCGCAGATAGCGCCAGTGTCTACCCTCGCGTGTCGCAGGTCCCTTCCTCCTGGGACTCCAGCTGGCTCTCCCTCTCTCTTTCTCCGCATCTTCACGGGGACGACGAGCGAGCACCTATTCGAACTCCGGCAGAGTACACGCCAAACAAAAGAAAAATAATAAAAGAATCTATCGAAATTTTAATTAGGCCCTTGCGGTCAGTGGATCCTGCCTGGACTTTGTTATGGCCTTTAGGCCCGTATCGCGTTTCGGCGTGATTTTCCGCCGAGGACAAGACGGGTGGAATCCACCACGTCATAATATATATGCAATAATATATATATTGTATGATGATAATATGGTAATATGGTAAAAATGATAACGTAATGAGCTCACCAGCGAAGGTAAGAGATAGGTATGGTTACTTGGCTGAGATGAGTTCCCGAAAATAATAGTATGTAATCAAAAATTCCATGAAGATGGCCCTTGTCCTGGCCGCTAGGGTAGGCACTGACACTAGTGTAGTGGTTGTTATACACAAGGACACTGAGTTCAGAAAGAGTAGAACTTGTCGTGATTCACTGATTGGGTTTTACTACTCGGCCCTAGGGCGAGGAAGACAAAATAAGCCCTAAGATATCTTGGCTAACACAACTGTTCCGCACTAAGTTCGCCTTTGACTCGAATGTTAATGAGAGTAAAGTGTGACTAGTTTAGATGAGACTCCTAAGTAAACTGACTATTTCGTCTAGACTCAGAGAAGGGATGGAAAACTGCCGATTCGGTGCATTCTGGAATCGTGGGACCACTGCGGATTGCTCTTGGTTCCCGCGATCTTGCCACGTTATCGGCACGTACTTTGGAGGTCATGGTCCTAAAGTTCTCGGATTCGTGCAAACCGATACTACCTTCTCTCTTACACCCACTGGTGGGCTCTTATGGGAACATTCCGTATATGGACCGTTCCCATGGACTTACAATGCTATGGTTATTAATATCTTATTTCTAGCTTATACTAAGAAGAACCTAAGTGCGCGTAGGACCTGATTACGTTGAACATTGTTGCTCGCAAAAGAATAGGGCAGGGGGCGTGTGGTGGATACTTTAAGGGTGTAGTTGCGTCGGATGTAACAGGTAAACGGTACTTCTCGGGGCGCTCCTTTTTCTTCTTGCGGCGGGCTTCTCCTCCTATCGTCCTACCATAGTCGTTGTTACATAAAGATAGTTTCGAAAATACAAGCGTGTTAATTAAACCTTATTTCGTGTGCTACCGCGGAACCTTGGAGTTTTCCGTGATGGTGGCAGCCTAAGGTCACGGCGGCAGTTACGCCCCGATAGAAACGCGAGAGCTATCCTTCTAAATGCGTGTGACGTATTTTGCAACGTCACAACCCATACACACGCGCTCCACATGAAAGCCTTAATAATTCTGTACTATTGTGAAAGCAGCGGTATATTAACAGTCAGGCCCATCTTTCGTGTAAAAAAGTAGATGGACGTGCGAAGACGACGACGATGACGGACCTGAAATAAAATCATCTCGCTCGCCATGTGAATACGCCCTGATCTCGTACACTAATCGTATTGAACTTGGTGGCAATCGATTCAAAACCCTTGATTCCTATAGTGAATGTATTCATAACTTTTTTTCATACATAGCCGTTTATAAAATATTTGAGTCGAAACACAGGTACAAGAGATGTTTCGAGTAAAGAGTCTCGGCGAGCCGTGCCGTACGGTGGGTTGCCTGTACTTGGCGCGAGACTCGACCGAGTCTCTTAATCAGGATACCGTATCAGACTGAGAGAACTATAATACTATAATACTATTCTGTTAAGACTGTCAATTATGTTGAAATTTCCGAAACTATCAGTTCCGTTAACTTACGTGGTTAACTCACGCCTGCCATTATTCTGAGTATTTGGAATCTTTGCTGTTTCTTCTCGTTCCGTCTTTTAAAATGTTATAATTGAATTTGAATTCTCTCTTTTTGCTAAAACCTTTCTTTGATTGTTCTGAAGTGCAATTACTAGCTGTCACGACTTTTCCTAGCTTAGTGTATGCGATATCTTCCGTTCTTATTTTGTAAATGATTTCTTGGGTGCAGTATTTTATTATCGTCACCGGAAATTATTTGATTGTCACGCTTATATTATCTGTGGAACCTTTGTGAATTTTAGATAGCGTGAACGTCCCTTTGACGTGTCGCGTCCTAGCCGTTGTCCGTCGTCCTAGGCGACCTTTCTTGTTAACGTTCCTCTACGCCGTGCCCTCTGCCGGTCTTTAAGATTATACTACCCGTTCCCAGACCGTCGCACTGTTACAACGATAATTAAATACTCGTTATATTTTATTTTTCTGAATTGTGATATTTTTATGCGTAATAATTATGATAATTAGATAATTCCGACTATATTATTTTCCGTTGATATTGTTTTTAAGAAATATCGAACCCGCGTTTTATCGCGTGAACGCTGACGTCCAACATCTTTCGCTGTCGCGATTCTCCGGTAAGTAGGCCCCGTCTATCGATTCCGATATTCGATTGTGTCATCCTAATTTCTTCTGCATTCTATAGCTTCCGATTGTGATAACGATAATTGTTAATTAATTTTAAGTCTTTGGAAACTATGCTTGGCTTCGCTCGCACCTTATTCATGCCTGATCTAAGGCTTTTGTAATCTATTCTATTGAGTTTGTCGATTATTTGAATTTTGGTTTTGCTTAATACAACTCTGATACGTTAACTAATTAATTTGGATTATTTTCTTGTAGTGTTTCTTATCGCTTTCCCTAAGTCCCTGGCTTGATTCCTTTCTTCCATACCTTTTGAACGCTGCGATGCTTTCGACGAGCTAGCCTCTGAAGCGGCCTACCATGGGACGCAGAGTGGTGTGATTTAGTATGATTCTTTCAAGTTCCAGGTACCCTTTAGGTTTAAGTACGTTTAGTGTCTCTTCGGAGCCGTGGTGCCCTTATCTGTTACATTGGCCATGTGACCCTTAGGTTAATTAGCCTGGTGGCAATCGGTTACTCTGAACTGATTATTTTTCACAACTCTTACTGTATCGGTAACGAGCTTAGAGCTCGTGGTATTCCTTCGTGGATATCTGGTACCCAAAATTTCGGTTTTGCCTAGACCACCTACGTTTCCGACTTCTAATTTTGTTGAGTTACGTTTTGTTAACTGGGATAACGTCACAACACTTCGTGCAATAATTAGGGATTCATATGATATTCTAAATAAGTAAAATCAAAGAAAATGAAGCAAATTGTATTTATTTGTATAAGCCCTTACAGATAATTCAGAACAACTTAGTTATTATCCATGTAAAATAATCAGTTGTCTTTGTTTTAAAGATATTGAAGGTGGATATTACACAGGTCTCTGCATAAGATGCTGTATGATTTTATATCGCCGCAACCATTCTTTCAAAGTTGTACCGTTAACCATAGTCCCCTCGAATATGAATTCTTCTAAAACATCTTGATGTACCCTGAAATAAATTAATGTATAATTAAAATACAACTTTAGTACGAAGTACTATAATCGTATAGTATACGATAAATTATACACTATTATTCACAACAAATGCGCCAAGTCAAGTTGGCTGCAGGTGGGTGATTCCATCAATCAGATCAGTGTGACATTATTAAGAAAATTAAAGCTAACATTATAACATTCGTAACATCATGAGCTTAACATTCTTTCATTATTTTAATGAAGTCCCAATGTCTGGATTAACGAAATCGTTCATTGGCATACTACTTCAACTAATGCGTTTATCATGAATAACCAATTTCTTGCTTGTAGGCTGTTGACCATGTGCAGTTATAATAACTGGAAACAATTAGTGTTTTATTGCGACGTTTCAACCACTGGTACGGGTCGTCTTCAGGCTTTTACTAGGAGAAAGAAATTATTGTGTCAAAGTGGAAATGATTTCAGAAGGTAGGCCAAGTCCATGTTTTTGGGTTGACGGGAAAAAGTCACGGAACCGTCTTTTCATGCCACGAATTATATAAGAAAAGGAAGAAATGAATTTAAGTTAAGTGTCCTAAATTTGTTTCAAAAAGTTTTATCAGAGTATGAAAATTAATAGACAGATGTTTTTATTTTACCTTTTTAGTGCAAGTGGAAGAAAATTTTTATTTTATAAAATGATAAAGCTGCATCATTAAAGCTAGGAGGCTCCGATACTGCGGCTTTTACTAATCTAACAGAAGGACTAGAAAGGAAGTTGCAACTATCTCATCACAACTGCGTACATTTCTTACTTTGGCTACCTACATCAGCACATATTTAACGTAACAGACGTAAGCTTGGATGGCTCCAAATACATAATCGGAAGTTGCTCTATATTGGCTCTATATTGGCTGCCTGTTTTATGAAGTACTGTGTCTGAGCAACTCAAGTCAAGTCATGAAAAACTTGCTTAATAATAAACAATAATAAGCCATTCCCTCGAGTTGCCTAATAATAAATAGTACTAATACCGTTTCCCTCGACTCGTCCCTTTAAACCAAATCGAAAGCGTTCCTTAGCGGATCGGTACATAACACTTTTGGAGATTCTCCACGGTCGCTTCCCCAGGGCATCGGGCGACAGCTGGGCACCACATCCTTAACTCGGGTTAGGGGATTCCTCCCCTGTCCTTAACCGTGTCAAAACTATAACTCTGCCCGTTCTATAGCCCTTTGCCCATCTGCAGCGGGGCACCGATATCTCACCCGGGCTTCTGCCGGTCCGTGGAGACGTCTCCGTTGGGTACTCTCCTCTGCCGGGCAACTCGGTACGTCGAGACTATGGCCCGTATTCAGAACTTGCTCTTAATCCTTTTAGTGCCGGACGACGATATATCGTCGTTCGCTACACTTGGGAAAAGTGCCGGACGACGATATATCGTTGCGTATGCGATGGCACCTTATTCTTCGCATCGCGAGAAAACTCTATCTCAAAATAAATGTTGAAATACAATTAGCATTACATTATTCTCTCTTCCTTCCGTAATACGTTGTTTTTTTAATTATGTAACTATCATTTTGAGTTTGCTTTTTATAACCTTTTTCCCAACCCGTTGTAAAATTCGTCAAATTCGTCCGGTTATTCTCGCATAGGCACCAGTTTTTCGCACCGCACTAAAAGGGTTAAGGTCACTAACAGAATCACTATCAGTTAAAAGTGACTTTGCCGAGTTGTTAGTGACCGTATTCAGAACTCGCTTTTAAGCCGCTTTTAGCTAAAGGTATGCTAACAGGGAACAGCGTCTTGTAACATGTACTTTCAACCGCGTTCGGAATCATTCGGGAAGACTCGGGCATATTCGATTATGTCCGGGAGTATTGGGTGGCATTCGGAAAGCGCGAACTTCATATTTGGTGAAAACTGCAGCCATATTTGAAATTCGAATTTTAGAATTCCCTTTCTTGAAGCTAAACTATTAATATTCAATTAATACGTTAAAACTATTATAAGACAGGCATGACATAAAAATGAAAAAAAAAAAATTAATGGTTGTAGATCATCATGGAACGACAAGAGAAATTCACCCTCGAACAAAAAGCATTAGTCATACAATTTGTAAGCGACAATCGTGATATACTAGAGAATAAAGCAAATAATGCTTCATTGCAAAAGAATAGAAGAGACAAATGAATGAAACTAACAGAAAAAATGAAGGCGACTGGAATTAAGAGGGAATGGGAAGATATAAGAGATGCATAGCAGCGGTGGAAACTCACAGCAAAGAAGACTATTTCTTGCTATCGCAAGCGTGCGAGTGGTAAAGGTGGAGATTCTGCTCTCTCAAAACCTTCTGGACTCGATTTCAAAATCAATAAAATTTGCCTGGAAAATTTTGTGGAGGATGAAGATCTCCAGAAATCTGATAGCCTTCCAGCATTGAATACGGCCAAAATGCCTAAGGATGACGTCACGTACGAAACGGATCACGTCTCTCTTGCAAACCTTGCGGATTTCTTACTCTCATTTCATTAACTTCGCGGACTTCATCTATCTCGGCAATAGCCTCCATCTGGTCCGCCATATTTGAGCGACCTGTCACTTTAAACATGCCCCTGCCCACATCTTCGAATAGCTCGCTGTTAGTCCCAAGATGGCCTAATAGCACGCTATTAAATGCTTAAAAACGGTTCTGAATAGGCTTTTTCACTAATAGCGCGCTATTAGCTGTTAGTGACCTTAAGAGTGACCATAAAAGCGGTTCTGAATACGATCACCTTTAAACTCACTAACAAATAATTTAAAAGCGCGCTATCAGCACTCTATCTCTTCACGGCAGATTCAAACACCTCGACCTCAACTAAACCATAACGAAATCTTCCGAGAGCATTGGCATAACTATACGAATCAACCCGAGAGCTTAGCTCCTGACCAGGATGGCAACCCGAAGGAAACTAGAAATTGAAAACGTTATCTGTATCAGTAGCCGGAGTCGCCTTGTGACCGTGAATCGAAAAATCACGTCACACATTATACAGGGTGTTTCTTAAGCCCCGGACAGGAGACATATCGTTATATCTGGCGTGAAAAAATAAAAATATTGGCGTCAACAAAATTCAAAATTTGTAATTAGTTTATTAATTATTACGGATTAAAGTAAGCAAATCATAAGCGCGTGAGAACCGATAACTCCTCCTTCGTCTCCTCCCATTGGGGACAGCCAATCATTTATTTCCCAACAAAAACAGTGACCGGTGGATACGTAAACGAATATAGTAACGTAAATAAACAAAAGCGTAACGCAAATAAACAAAAGAATAATGCAAAATATTTTTTGTGGGGAAATAAATGATTGGCTGTCCCCAGTAGGAGGAGACTGAGGAGGAGTTCTCTCTCTCAGGCCTCGTCTCAATATAAATTGTGTCGAATCCTCTCGAATCCGCTGAATGAACTGAAAAACAAACGAAACGTTCCCCACAAGGAAATAAATACAAATTCCTAAAATGAAGTCAGTCCAACGCCACGCGAAACGTTCCGTAACCCATCAGGCCCCACGACGTAGCCGAATTCGCCTATTTTGCGACGTGTATTAAAATGCCACGTTACAATATAAATGTTGACATGTATACTCCCTGTATGGTAATATAACAATGCCTGCGGTCCTCAGGGAGCCTAGCTCCAGGATAGAATAAATTCTACTCTACTCTACTCTCTTTGATTCACTAATGCTACGCACTAATCTGTAAGGTTAGGAAAGAAAGTTATGGAAATTTACTGGATTCCGGAGGATTACATCCTCCATGCGCAATTCTGAGAAATAACGTTCGAGATCAAACCGATTGAAGGCTGCCGTTCGAAACCTGCACGAACTCGCACGGGGAGGGGAAGAGATTCGTCAAACTTCTCGATGATTCTAGAAGCCCTTTCACTATCCGATCTGACAAGTTCTATTTATTTATTTTTCGGTCATTCCTAGGTGGTCTCCCCTCCAACTCTGTAATGCCACGTTACAATGTTCGAGTAGTTATTCTGTATAAAAACGTGAGACTTATGACTTATGTTACGATAATACCTAGCTTTGCAAAAAAGTATATATGTAGGATGATATACTAAGGATGAAAATTAATACCACCGTTTTCGAACCCCCTACCGATTTCCACAAAACAACTTTTTTCACTTTCTGATAGTCTCAATAAATAAAAAATATAATATATATCCGAATAAAGTTCCATTTCTAAATGTAAAATGCTTTTGATTTAACAGTGAGCTGTTGATTAAAAAAATTTTTTCAAGAGATTTTTGGATTTGATTTTTTGCATAACATATAGCAGCATGGTTCTAGCGGATATGATTCACGGTAAACTTGTTTGCTCTAATATGTTTCATCCAGCGTGTATTTAGTTTTTAATATTTTACCACAATTGACTCCAAACCTAAATTTGTTTGAGTATAGTCTTGATTACACCAGGGTTTAGTATGCGCATGAACGAGGAGTGAAAAAAACTATTTGTATGGATGAGTTGTCACACGGACGAGACTAGAGCGAGGAAACTTTACACCCAAGTATTCCAGCCCCCTAAAACTGTTCTCTCTCGCAACAAAGTGAGAGGTCCTTTACATATTTTGATGAAAATGAAGCCAATACCTTTAGAATCAGCCCATTCATGCGTAAGAATTAACTGTTTCACATTGTGGAAACACATTAAATACAAGTAACAGCTAAATAATATGAAGGAGGTCCTCCACGTTCGGACAGAAATTTCAAGCCTTTTTTTCGGATAGTTTGCAAAAGAACTATACATGATAATGAGAAATAGTTCCTTACGCCTTATTGATACATTCTCTGATGTTTGAAATATTATTTTTATTAAAAATTATTTTCACACCCGCGACTTTGATGAGTCTTTGACCGGTCTGCAATAACGTAATCATCGAGTTTGTGGTAAAACTTCGGCCATTTAGGTTACATGTAACGAAAAAAGTGAAATATGTTTTTAATCTTTATTACGTTGGCTAAGTTTAGGCGCAAGTTTTTTGAAAATTTTTCAAATCTTTCAAAATGACAAGCTTTTTTACGAGATAAATTTCTTTGACCGTGTTTTTTGAGTTTATAAGGTTTGTAAAAATTAAACAAAAAACATTTCCAAAAAAGCGTGTGTCTTGACCTAGCGGCACGTTTGCTGAACAATTTAAAAAAAAATAGAACAGATATCCGAATACTTCTAGTCGAAGTCTTATCAAAACTTTGGAAAAAAAAGAACTTTTGGGAAAACGTGTTTAGACATGAATGACACAATAAAACGTACTGCAAAGGCGCGTCAAAGAATCGCGAATGACCATGATGGGCGATCAACCACTCGTTAACGAAATTGTATTTCTTGAATTTCTTCAGAAGGTACATTTCTGATGACTTATAGATTCGAAATATGCAATAGAAAAGAAATCGAATTTCCAAAACCTCGAACGTGAAAGACTCCTTTAAGAAAATTGATTATAAATAGTATGATATACTTACCAAGTATCAAGTATTAAGTGGTATTGTTTCACTTCATGAAAAAACTCTGCATTTGTTAAATCTATGGCATTAGTCGCCTCTTTGATGTTATTTTCAATACAATATACGCCGCTCATGGTCATATATTTTCCTAATGATGCATTTATTTCTTCCGTGAACCGAGGCATCCATTGCTTAAGCCATAAATTTAAAGCCAAGGTTTTATAGCAGCACAGTAAATAATAAATTGGCGTAATTGTTAATGAAAAGTGTAAAATCGTTTTTATGCAATGCCAATCGATGAATATCAGAGCCTTGTCAATGGAATTTATTGTATGTCTGCAAAAAAAAATAAATATGTTATACATGAATGTAGTGTGTTTTTCTAACAAGCATGTAATTAATATTATAATGTTTCTCGATTTTAAACTAAGGCTTTGTGAATAAAGATCAGTAGAGTGGATGGCATTGTATTGCGATGACGAAGGTTATATGCAAATATTATTAAGACTTCAAATGACCACAATGATGCTTGTTCGCATACCATCATAGGTGATTGAAAACACCATTTCGTCAAAGCATAATTTGACTTATATCGATAATTATATTCTCTATAGAAATAAAAACAGTAAGTAGGCATTGCTACGCGTGTGATTTCTGCACTCTCCAAGCCACCTTATGTACATCTTAAGAAGATTCGTCACCGTCTTAGGCGAGGAGAACGAAGAGGAGACTTTCCATCGGCATCAAACCCTGCGCCAAGTTACGCTCCTTTCAGCAGCATTTGTAAGCTGTCGCATTTGTCTACAATTTTGGTTGCCTCAACTAATCCATACCAACAAAATTTTCGATTTTTTTTTGCATAAGACATTTTCAATATATAAAATACCATGCGTTTGTTGAGATGTAATATTTTCAGCTATTTATTTGCTCATGAAAACCACTTTTGCCACCATATCTGGCAGAATGACTTTTTTAGAAGTGTTCAATTATGAACTTCATTTCTTTAAAAACTGTGTAGACAAAAATTCTGAAAAACTTAAAGACCATGTATTCTAAGATATTAAAGAATAGTGTGTATGATTTCCAAACATGTTATATCTTTTATTATTAACATTTATGCTTGCTCCTAGATGCTCCCGTATATGCTCGCCCATGCATAGGACGCATACTGATAAAGTAGGGGAAGGGAGAGATTTCAGATGCGCACATTCAGCAATATCTTACGCCAATCCGATGCCTCACTGATATCTGATAATCGCCTGACGCTCCTCATTGGGGAAAATTCCCAATGTTTAATTACAACTTTCTCCAAAGTGATGGAAATATTTCAATTCTGCTTTTACCATTTTCTTTAGAATTTTATGATGAATCTAGTAGCCTGCAGCTTATCCGAGAGATTATCGAACACCCTGTATACCGGATATTCACTATAAATAACAATACATACCTGTAACCCATCACATCACCAATAACTTTAATTTTTCTCTGGGCTCTTATGTCGAAACTATCGTCAAAACTATTAAGTTCAGATCTGAGATTAATGATTCGCCATGATTGTTGGTTTCCATTTCGTAAAGCTGCTAGATGAAAAATCACACCAAATGAGTCTGTTTCTGCTTTATGGATGTGGAGTGCCGACATTTTAAGGAGGTCGAGCGATTCTTTTATATCCCGAATACGTTCATCCTATAATACAAATATTTTATATTATTTAAACAAGTTCTCCAAGAAGATAAATTATTTGAAACATTTAGTACTTATAATAAATTATGTACCACATAGGCTATACAAATTCGAGACTCGACGAAATTATTATTATTAGATTTATGACGTGTTTTTTCGATTCACGGTCACAAGGAGACTCCGGCTACGGATTCAGATAGCGTTCTCGCTTTCTGGTTACCTTCGAGTCACCACCCTGCTTAGAAGCTACGTTCTCGGGTTGATTCGTATAGTTACGCCAATTTTCTCGGAGGATTTGATATAGTCTAGTTGAGGTCGAAGTGCTCGAATCTGCTGTGGGGAGATAGTTTCAAGGTACCGAGTTGCCCGACAGAGGAGAGTACCCGACGGAGACGTGTCCACGGACCGGCAAAATCTCGGGTAAGATACCGGTGCCCCGCTGGAGATGGGCTATAGAACGGGCGGAGATGGTTTTGTTACGGTTAAGGGCAGGGGAGAAACCCTCTGACCCGAGATAAGGATGTGGTGCCCAGTTGTCGCCCGATCCCTGGGGAAGTGGCCTAGGATGATCTCCAACAGTTACATACCGATTCGTTAAAGAACGCTCTCGAAAGGAAGAGTTATTGACTATAAGGATCTCGACCAATCAAAATGATTAGTCTTCGAATTTGGCTGTTGTCAAAGCAGTCTGTCTCGGGGCATCGACCGACGTATCCCCAGCTGACCCGCGCTTCCGTGCTTTCTGTTGATAGTTTTTCTAGCTGTGTTGTGATACAATATAGAAAGTTATCGCTCGTGCAGTTCTCGCGTTGCTCCCGTGACATCCAAGAAATTCTATGGATTTTCTGTGGATGTTCCGGCGGTGTATTGCGGTGCCCTAGGACAGTGCCTATCCAAGTGTCCTCTGGATACAGTTCTCGGCCTTCACGGGTTAGCTGCATCAGCTCCGGTCAGGACTCCCAATTTATTAATTGGTTGAAGAGATTTCGATTTGATACTTCCGATTCGTTCTGTTACGTTATCGATCCGTTGCTCTCTGTATCCCGCACCATTTGCCTGACGCTTACTCCGACCCTCTCTACTTCAACCTAGCAGCCTGAGCGGCCGTGCATTTCCGTACCCGCCCGCTCCAGTTCGTGCATCCAGTTGCGTTTGCTGATTTTACGCGATTCCAAAGATCAGCACCTACGGTTGCGTTTCTCGATTTTACGCGTCTCCAAAAATCAACAGGATCCGTTAAGTTATAGCATTATTTGATAGGTTCCGTCAGAGCTCTCGTTTTGGTGGAGTTGAGCCTGTTCCTCCCCAACTCCCAGTTCATACCGGCTCGTCAGTTCCCGATGACAAATAAATTGACTGGCGTCCGCCTGGCTTGCGGATGCATGAATGAAGGGTGGACAAAGTTATAACATAAATTATAGAAAGATGTTCAGTGCACAATGTCTCATTCGTTTAATTTAGTATTTTATATACAATTTATGTTATAAGTTGAATCTTCTCGGATAACATTCAAGGAGATTCAAATTACAGAGGCCGACTTGATATACTGATTATTGGAAAATGGTTCGATGTCAATCGATACCTTAGTAATTTTGAGGACGTTTATTTATTTTATTTTCATAAAAAACGTGTTATTTTATACATTTTCCTCTATTTTTTCATAATAAACTTAATTGTTTCAACTCAAAATTTAATGATTTTTCAATTTTCCATTCGATATAAAACTTTATTTGATATACATGTCTTCATTTTATTTACTAGAAGCCTTTAATTCATGTATTAGAGCTATTAAGATGTCTAGTTCTCATGAAGGCAGGAGGAAAAAGCAGGCCATGCACTTATCAGTTTCTTCACTTTCATATTATGGATTATATTCATTACAATAATGATACTCCTCAAAGAAGTGTTTGAGACAAAGGTTTTTTTTGCACCACGAACATGCTATAACAGCTGAATCACCACAAATGTGACATTGTGGTTCCGAATTATCTCCAAAACCAAATCTATAACATTTTTTGCGTTTGAAAAAAATAACTCTCCGGTTTAAAGAGTTCTTGAGATGGAAAAAACGAATGTAGATTGATATCATTTAATTTTGAGTCGAAACAATTAAGTTTATTATCACAAAATAGAGGAAAATGTATAAAATAACACGATTATTATGAAAATAAAATAAATAAACGATTTCTATATAATTTTCAACTACATATTATTATTGCAGAACACTGAAAAATGAATAACTTTGCTATTTAAACTTTTGCCGTATCTAATTTAGTTTCGAAAATATCAGCTAAAAACGAAAAAACCACCGATTTTCAGGAATTAATTTCACCCCTTAAATATGTAAGTGGGCACCCCATTTTGTGTGAGGATTTATACTTTGATGTGAACTACAAAATATCATTTTTTCAACCCAGGTTGCGGGGGTACAGTAAGCTGACCTTCCTTGTTAGTAACAAAAATTCGATGCAGACCTACGGGTGGGTTACTATTTTGTTTAAGATAAACTACCTATTTTCCCACTGATTGATGACCAGCCGGTGTATCGTTGAAACGTTAAATGTATTTTTTTGACGTCCCGAATATCATCAATCCCAACATTAAACTTTCCATAAATTACATAATCTCAATCACGTTATATTCTAAAATTAGATGAATTAGACCCCAGGCGTCTAAAATGGTTATTATGAATACAAAACTACCTGTATGTACATTATGTAATTCATGTCACTCACCGTTCTAATATCGATACGTTGAATTGTAGATACCATTTCAGTAAGTTCAGAAGTAGATACTGAGTGATCTTGAAGAATAGTTTTATTGTCAATTTCGTTTTTGACTTGTAGTAGTTTAACTTTTAGTTTTTGAATTTCTAGTATCAACGCAATCCAATCACCTGTTTCATCAGGGTAGTTCACATGTTCCTTAAAAAATAATACGTGTATTATTTATTAAATAACATTGTATAATCAGTTTACAGGCTTTAAAATGGTTGTTTTTTACAGCTCGTAACAATGCAACACTTAAAAAACCACACGTGGGTTTCCATAAAATTACGGAAATAAAACTTAAAATAGAGAAATAAACAAAACCATGGGTTGTATATTTTTTTAGAAAGATTGTATGCAGAGTCATGTGTAGCTTGATAAGGATTTTCAATATACAGGGTGTTCCGAAATTACCTAACCAACGGGGTATGGCGGTGTTCGGGAGACACACCTGATCATGAAAATGACCTTCCTTTTCTCCTGAAAGTCATAGTTTTTAAATGGGAGCAGGTCAAAGTTGACCAATCAAAGCGAGGCGTCAAGAGAAACGTAGGCACCTACGAACTCTGAGTTTTCTTCCCTGGCTTTTGTTTCTCGGTGGCTTTGGGCAGGATGACATCAGCCGAAGACATGCTTATTGGATGTCACTCGCTGAGAACAGAAGTTCTCAATTGAACAGTCAAGCACTAACTGAAAACTGCAATGTCCTATGATAATCCCATTTGACTTACACAGATATCTCTGTGACGTCTTACGTAGGTTATCCTGATCTCGTTTTTCTTCCATTGATCTCCAGCAATTCGTGCTACATCCGATGGAGGATTATACATGTTTCACCTTGAGATAGACAAAAATTGATTCAACTTCCATGTGTAATTAACGGGAGATAGATTTCGGATTTACCTACTACGAGAAATCTATATTATATCTTACAGGGAATATAAACTCTTAAGAAATATGTTTTATAAATTATAAAAAGTCGTCAATTGCATTAGAATTTTATTGCGATTCGTCAACGGGATATAGCACGAATCACTGGAGATCAATGGAAGAAATGCGAGATCAGGATGATCTGCGTAAGACGTCACAGAGATATCTCTATAAGTCAAATGGCATTATCATAGAACATTGCAGTTTTCAGTCAGTGCTTGACTGTTCAACTGAGAACTTCTGTTCTCAGCGAGTGACATCCAATAGGCATGTCTTCGGGTGACGTCATCCTGCCCAAAGCCACCGAGAAACAAAAGCGAGGGAAGGAATATATAAAAAAAAAAAACACTGAACTCGGGAGCCGACTATGCTATACTGAGATATACGTTATAATGAATTTTAAACATTTCAAAATTATCCTAAACTATAAAACTTACTATATGTAGATTGTAACATGTCGAATTTTCCTCGCCAGTTAGAATTGGTTATTATTAGTGTGGGCTACACCAGCAACTCAATAATGAGGCAACTTCTTACACGAGAGACGATGGCGATACACCAAGCGATCCGGAATTTATTATGACCCACTTGGTTTTACTTTGTTTTGAGTGGCACGACTTCGACATACGAACAGACTATACAGGTTGGTCAGCTGAATTGAGATGACCGAGAAACGTCAAAGAATGGTTTTGTCTGTCGCCCAGCAACGAAGGTCGTCTCCGAGCATATGCAGCTCTAGCGATCTATCATCAACTTAGTTGCGTTCGGAACTATTAAGGCCGACACCGCGAGATCTTCACCGACCACCCAAGGGGCCATGGGGGTCGCGGGATCGGTCCCGCGCCATGCATAGCTGGATTAGAGAGGGTAAAAGTGATTTCCACCCTCAAGAATACCAGAACACCAGAGGAGTAGCGGCCCTGGATGACTGATAATCCGCCTCGCCCGGATACCAATCGCAAAACAGCTCGGTTATCAATCCGCGCGGTAGATCTGTGAAATTAAAATTTGCTTATCAACCCTATTGCCTATTAGGTCGGTGGTGCGCCCTCAGCGAAAGAGATCGTCGCGCGTACGATTGATCCCAAAAAGAGTTCTGGTGTAGCGATCATAGAGCCGTTAGTACGAATTAATTAGAAAAGAATTTTTGAGTAACCTAGAGAAAAGTACTAGTGCGAATTCTTGAACAACCTTAGAGAGTCACTTGTCTAAATTTTAGATAGCCGCGAGAGGTAAGCTAAGTACAATCACTGCTACTAGTGTAAATTAAAGAATCAGACAATCCTCGCTCTTGGAATTGAGCTCGTCAAAAGACCGCATCCGAGCGGGGGAGAAATTCGAAAGTGGTATTCGGACCCGATTCAAAGATCCGAGAAAAACGAGAAGCCGCACGTTATTGTGTAACCCGGTACTGTCAAAAATCGGTACATTCACCAGGAGCGGAAACAGTATAGAACATTTTCGCATAATTTCGATGTAAAAATTCTGGCCCTCTAAATATTACATAAAACAAAGAATAATACTGTATATAAAATTGTATTACCTCAATGTTATTGATATACTGCATTATGAGTTGTTCACGATTTTTAACTCGCGTATTGTAGAGGCATTGCTTTGATATAGCAATTACACGTTTACCACATATGTTGCCAATTTGTAAATCAAAATTAGCTCTGCTGATGTTCGTAGAGTGAAGTGCCTGCCCTCTTAATGCTTCCAGTTTTTCCATAGATTGTGTTTGGGTTTGTAATATAGCATTCCACAATTTACACATATCAGTGCGATACACCGCTTCCCATATTTTGTGAACGACCTAATAAACAATATAAAAATGCATTAGTTCGCATCTCCCAAAACTATTCTTTTTAACTAGATTATAAAAAAACACAAGGTATACGTAATTGTTTCCCATCGGAGTTCTATATTAAAAATAATATACAGGGTATCTCAATTTAAATAACATAAACATATATCTCTGAAGTAAGTAGAGCTGGACACATTTTTTTCATATGAACGTTTTTCAATTTCGAGGAGACAAAATGCTGTTGATATTCGTCCATTCATCGATCAAACCATTTCAGAAGATTTGAGCTTGCCAATGTTCTTAAATGATAAATGTTTAAATGATAACCGATGTCGTTTTTAGCTAAGATGTTGGTGGCATCAAGATGAATTCAAACATATGTATTCAAGTTCGTTTATCGTATGCCGTTTTTTGTGTTTAGCTAAAATAAATAATAATAGATCTGCACATTTTCAACACCATATTCAATTATGTATAAATGTTGGAGGCGATGTATTCAAACAGTTGTTGCGTTCTTGAAACGTGAATGCACCGCAGAAAATTACCAAAACAGAATTTTTACCATTTAACAAAACGGGATATCAGCACCATTTTGTTCCTAAAAATTGGGAAACCCTGTATTACATCTCAAAGAGAACCTTCGATCACACTTCATGCTTCTTACCGCTATCTTTCTTGAATATAATGCATTATGTCATCTTTATCGAAATGGAATCACCCTTTGTTATTCGCCGACCTTCTCTATTCGACATAGTTCTAACAAACGATAGATTGGGCAACATACAGAAATTATACGAATTACGATACTGCTGCAATTAACAAAGAGAGGAAAGCATACTTTACATTTAGATTTGACGACAGCTTAAATATAGAGAGATGGCAAAATTTAAGGAATTATGATATTCATAGTTCCAAGAAACATGCATATGAAATTAAATATCATCCTGATATATTGAATGATTACTTCTTAGAGTCGCTACTATCCTTAAAGGTCCACAATGAAACAGTAGATAGGCTTAGACAAGATAAATTCGGCAACGCAGGTCAATTTTCGTTTTAACCCATTAACGCCGAGGTGATCAGAATTTTTACTAACTTTTCAACGTGTTTATTTATTATGTTATCGGACCAAAAAAATAATGCAATAACTCTATTCCTACGCGAAATTTGATGCTCTTTCAGAATCTGTGCTCAAAATTTCGATTAGACACCGAGAAAAAAAAATATGGCCGATTTAAACGTGAAAAACGTGAAAATTTTCGACAAAAACTTTTTTTCGCATTTTTTTTCACAATGATAACGCAAAGGTATCAACTTTTTACTATGATCAGAGGTGATCATGGCACTCGAACATTAAGAGGAATTTTTTTCAGAAAAATTCATCAATGCGTTTTTTCAAAATGGCGGCGAGAATGAAAAAATTGTATAAAAATCTTTTGTTTTCTTAAAAACTATAAACTTTAAAAAAAAATTTCTAATAACAAAAATGTCTTACAATTAGTCAAATAACACTCTCAAATTTTTTCAGAATTTTTGGAGACAATTTTTGATTTTTGAAAATTTCAAAAAATCCAATTTTTCAAAAATACCTAAAAAATGCAATCTATATATATGCAATAATTGTTGGGCAAAAAAGCCCTGATAAAAGTTTTAACCCATTAACGCCGAGGTGATCAGAATTTTTACTAACTTTTCAACGTGTTTATTTATTATGTTATCGGACCAAAAAAATAATGCAATAACTCTATTCCTACGCGAAATTTGATGCTCTTTCAGAATCTGTGCTCAAAATTTCGATTAGACACCGAGAAAAAAAAATATGGCCGATTTAAACGTGAAAAACGTGAAAATTTTCGACAAAAACATTTTTTCGCATTTTTTTTCATAATGATAACGCAAAGGTATTAACTTTTTACTATGATTAGAGGTGATCATGGCACTCGAACATTAAGAGGAATTTTTTTCAGAAAAATTCATCAATGCGTTTTTTCAAAATGGCGGCGAGAATGAAAAAATTTTATAAAAATCTTAATCTTTTGTTTTCTTAAAAACTATAAACTTTTAAAAAAAATTTCTAAGAACAAAAATGTCTTAAAATTAGTCAAATAACACTGTTAAATTTTTTCAGAATTTTTGGAGACAATTTTTGATTTTTGAAAATTTCAAAAAATCCAATTTTTCAAAAATACCTAAAAAATTTTTGAAAAAATGATAAAAGAAATGTTAAAGTGAGTGGCAAGGGGACTCACGAAAAAAAAGCACCCTAAAGGAGACAAAGTTCTACCACGTCCACGCCGTTGTCTCTGGGTAATGCTAAGAGTAGAAAAAAACAATGTATATGTACAGAATCAGCAAGGAAGTAGTCAAGGAATCCTCTCAAATTTTTTCAAAAATTTTTTAGGTATTTTTGAAAAATTGGATTTTTTGAAATTTTCAAAAATCAAAAATTGTCTCCAAAAATTCTGAAAAAATTTGAGTGATATTTGACTAATTTTAAGATATTTTTGTTCTTAGAAATTTTTGTTTAAAGTTTATAGTTTTTAAGAAAACAAAAGATTAAGATTTTTATACAATTTTTTCATTCTCGCCGCCATTTTGAAAAAACGCGTTGATGAATTTTTCTGAAAAAAAATTCCTCTTAATGTTCGAGTGCCATGATCACCTCTGATCATAGTAAAAAGTTGATACCTTTGCGTTATCATTGTGAAAAAAAATGCGAAAAATTTTTTTTTCGAAAATTTTCACGTTTTTCACGTTTAAATCGGCCATATTTTTTTTTCTCGGTGTCTAATCGAAATTTTGAGCTCAGATTCTGAAAAAGCATCAAATTTCGCGTAGGAATAGAGTTATTGCATTATTTTTTTGGTCCGATAACATTATAAATAAACAAGTTGAAAAGTTAGTAAAAATTCTGATCACCTCGGCGTTAATGGGTTAATAAAAGTATGTTAGCATAACTAAATAGCTACTATGATCGACTGGATCGTTTTAGCGCCTGAATAAAAGTCTAGCAAACTATGTAGAAGAAAATGTTATATATAATCGTTTTCAACCTAAACATGAAAAACGTCAAATCAATATGCTGATAAAGATATCTTTATTTCGACTTGATTAAGACATCCGAAAGCGAGACTTCCGGACATCTTAAACTTGAAGTTATGACATTATCTCAGAAGGACAGAAGCCTATTAAAGACGTTCAAATGGCGTATTCAAGATGTCATTATGTTAACAGGGTACCCACTGGATGTGTCCATGATTATGAAAGTGACCTAAGTCAACAAATATGAACAAATTCAGCTAATCAAAAAATAATATTTTTAGCGGTCCTGCCTTAAAAGTAGGATAATTAGCGTCTTTTTTCTTACAACACATATGTACACTTTGAGAAATATTATTATCAATCCATCATCAAATTTGTCGTCAAGGATGAAATTTGTAGAAAAAAAAGGCAAAGTTGGTTGATAACTACAAATTTGACAATAAACTATTCATCCATTCTACTAATGTAAGCCTCAGACTCGTTCTACAGCCGATCGTTTGTGAGTAGTCATTAACGTAAAGCATTTTCAACTAGCTAATCAAAGCAGTAAAAAACCTGAGGAAATTCCTCTGACATGCAAAAAGAATTTCGCACACAGCACAAATTATGAAGATATCGATAAAACGTTTTCAGATAGTTCTATGTCCCGCGTTTTGACGTCTTATATGTAGAAGTCTTATGTTAAAATGACATCTTTCTTACAATTAAACATGAGTCGTCTATAGTACATCAAAAAACATAAGACCCTTTGAAGACATCTTAACGACGATCTAACTTACAGAATACTTTACTATTACAGAATGGCTCTAATGCTTTCATTATGCGAATAAAGAGCGAGTGAGCGAGCGATGTGCCGAAAAGTCATATAAAAAAAAATCACTTACTTTTTTTTTATTAGCTCCATGGTACAAAGAGTTCACTGAAGTCAAAAGATCATCAATCATAAAAGTAACAGTTAAATCCATTTCAGTTGTAGGCATTAAATGTTGGCAAATATGAATCATCCTTTTACAATCTTCAACTTGAGTATGTAGTTCATAAGACTTTGCTTCTAATAAATGCTTCCAAGCTTGACGAAAATACTGTTTGGTTTTTTCTCGTTTTAACATTTGTGCTGTGAAACAAAAATAGTAGCATTCTTATTAAATTTCATCATAAAAATAAGAATATTTTGAATGCATATTTTAACACACTAGAGACCATCTGAACATTCAGCTACCCAGTAATACCATTCGATAAACAAAATGTTCAGAATTGAAAAGAAAGCGAAGAGCTTGGATATTGGTTTGTAAAAAAGCTTTATCACTTAGCTACTGATGTTTGAATAAGAAGCATTTATGCTTATTTTGATTGCACTGAAAATACAAAATATATACACCTATTGAAAATTACATAAACACTGCTGTTATATCATGCAACTGGAAGACTCTAGTTTCCGAATCACTAACATTTTATCTTATATTATGTAGTATTAATAAAAACATTAAGCAAGTAAAAAAAAGTAATTTTTACTGATTTTTCTTACTTTTTTCTATTAACTTTTACTGTTGTATAGATAAGAGAACTTATGGATTACTAGATATCCAGACTGATTCTCTGTAGGGTAAATATCAATAATTATTACATTTTTATTACTTGATTAATAAATCATGTAAGGAGATTTCCAGTTGGCAACACAGCAGCAAAAAGCAATAAAGCAAAACATTCATTTTTTATAAAAAAAATACCACTAAAGCTAACCAAATTTTATACTGTTATATTATAGACACATGCCTGTTCACTGGAAAGCTTCCTTGCTTATACAATATATAATCAAAAATACAATTACCTTTTTTAGAAAACAAAATTATCTGATTATTGTGAGAAATTTCATGAGACACAATATTTGCATGTAACTCACACTTTTCATTTCTTAATCGAGTAACATTTTTCATATGCTGGATCGTAGTATCATTTCCACCATTTCTGAATCTGTATAAGGTAACATTTTTGCGTGATTCTAATACAAATGAACTTGTATTTAGAACTTCTGATAATTCATTGATTAAAATCCCCAGTGCACCATTACTAAGTCTAGGAAAAAATTCTTTGTACGTTATAAATTCTTGAATAATTTCCTTATATTATATAACCCCTTACAATTTCCTTATGCCAGTTGTAAGAGCAGACGGTGGACATCCAAGAGAAATAGCCCAATCTAAATGATCTATAAAATCTCCCATTTATTACCTGTAATTAGATAAAATGTGTTAATATGCATATTTGGCTACAAAAAGAAATAAATTTCATTGTAAAAATGAGAGAATGAGAAATTTAGTAAGTAATTAAATGTAATTCTAAATGGTAGAAATTTAATTAAATGCATGTGTCCTATATAATAAATATTGATATTAAATTAAAAGTTTCTGTGGCTATGTTTTCATTGGAGTTCACTTAAAAGGTACAAAATACATGTGATGTAACTATCTACCCACTTGAAAAATTATGGGTAAAAATCCCATGTACTCCACCTTACGTTCAAATACCGTTGAAACATAGCCTGTAAGTTGTAACGTATCAGTAATATAAGAGAATGATATACAAGTAAAACTTATTTACAATGAAAAACGAAACTTTTTTGTATACTTTGTGGATCGTGCAAGTTTAAATTTATACAATAATTGTTAAATATTTAATATATTGTATCAAATTACCAATATCGAACACTTAGTTAAAACAGTAATTCAATTTAAATTTCTTCACATTGATTATGTATCCTTCCTTCCTTTCCTTATGGCTGTATCCCCAATGGGGGACATGTGCCAGTAACTGGTCCTAATAATCAAGGTTGGAAGTTCGACACTAGATGGCGATGTACCTTGCGAGACGGGCCTTATTCAACTCAGCGTGAGGGGACCTACACAAAGTTTATACACCGAATCCGAACAGTGTTGGGCGGGAAG